CTCAGTCTATTTTCAGTTCAAAAGACCAATTTCATTCTATTGAAGAACATCTTAAATCCCAAATATCAGCAGAACAATGTTTCTCACCTACTTTACCCATGGTATTTGGGACACCGGTGTGGGTGACTGAACATCAGCACTCCGTGGTCTTTAAGGGCACCTGATACTTCCAAAATGAAGAGTTACAAGTGATCCTCTTTCAGGTGAGGAGAGTATTTGGCAGTAATACAAACACTTTGCTATCAAATTAATTCTCACAATGTCCTTGTATGGACACTAAAATTTCAGTATTTCAGTTTAAAAATTTAATATAAATAATCTGTTAATTCCTATGGGAAAAGTATACTATTTGTTCAGGATTCAAGAACTATACTGTGATGCAGCCGTACTCCAAATCTCACTACCATATACTAGCCTACCTTGATAGGCTCAATTATAAAACAAAGCTTAAAGCTTATTTTAGGTCTTGCAACTGTAACAGACAACTCTGTGTAGGACAACTGAGATGAAATCTTCACAAGTATACTCAGTATGAGGAAAGACATCCAACATTTTCTAATACTTTTCAGAGAGAAATCATACAAGATGTACAGCCATGTACCAGAAGTAGAGAAACAGGCATGTTCAGAGACGAAAATGCAAACCAGAAGCCTATCTGACACAGAGATTACACCCCACCCCAGCTTCCCTTGGGCAAGAATCTGTTTGTCAGGCATCCATCCTGTTGAGCAAAGAAAGCTGGTTTTCTGCTTGAAACAGGCCCTGATAAACACCTCACGCCCATACCTAAAGAAAAGGACTTCCACTTTGCAAGATACTAAGATGCTTTTAAAGTAATGAAAAACAGCCAGAGACTACATATCCTAATAAAGCAGTAATAGCACAAGCACAGGCACACATAAACACCAACCTACCATTAAACATCCAGGCTCCAGTTCCAGCTAGCGCAGATTGTTCCTCTACAGGAGAAGCACAGTGTGATTCCTGATTCTTGGAATTATCAACTTTTTAATTCCTCCCTGCTTAGTCTGCAGTGCACAGCATACCCTTTTTTTGTCTAAAGGGGTTTGGTTAAGGACACACCATGACAGCAATCAGTTACAAACATAATTATAACTTACAGCCATGATAAAATTTGCCATTTTCATTTAACTTTTTAAAAACTATTATTTCATTGTTGTTGCTGAGCATAGTAGAATTGTCCTCTATTTTACAAAACAGCCATGGAATTTTTCTTCTAGAATCATAAAAGGGTTTGGATTGGAAGGGACTTTAAAGATCATCTAGTTCCAACATCCTTGCCACAGGCAGGGACACCTTCCACTAGACCAGGTTGTTCAAAGCCCCATCCAACTTGCCCTTGAGTACTGCCAGGGATGGGGCACATGCAGGACCTTGCATCTGGTCTTGTTGAACTTCATGAGATTCACATTGGCCCACATCTTGAGCCTGTCCAGGTCCCTCTGTATAGCATCCCTTCCCTCCAGACACCATGCAGCTTGGTGGCACCATCAGACCTGCTGAGGGTACATCAGTCCCACTGTCCATGTCACCAACAAGGATGTCGACAAGCACCAGTCCCAGTAACGATCCCTGAGCAATGCCACCTATCACTGGTCTCCTCTTGCACATCATATAATGTATGAAATCTTAAATACCAGCACTTTGTGCATACATTTATATGCACAGACACACTAAAGAAGGGAACACAAACTAGTACTATCATCTCAAGTGTCAATTTTTTGGATTATGCTCTTAGAAAAGGAAGTCTTTGCATCCAACTGCTCCTGGGTTATTAACAAATAAATTCATTCAACATATACAGAGAAAAATATCAGGGAATTTTTAATCACAGCTAGAAGAAACAACTCTTTAAAGTAGCCTGGAGGAAGGAGCATAAGGGCATTAATTTTTCTAAAGTTACTCAGTACTTTACTTTGCTGTGGGGTAGGGGAATTAACTAGCACAGACTTGCCACTACCTAGTTAACAATGCATGAACGGAATGTCCAAACAGCTATGAGCAGATATGTTGTGTAAGCATAATAAATTAATTAAATAAAGGTAAAATATGTTATTCCGTTCCATTATTTTAGCTCATGTAGTTTTTCCCAATCAAGAAGTGGAAGAAGAAGCCCTGCTACTGACTCTAACTGTACCTTAACTGAAACAAGGCATAGATTCAGACAGTTATTGTTAATGAAAAGACATTATTTAACATGAATTTAATTGCACAGCTTTCATAGACATTCTCACAACATCCCCATGGCAAAGTTGAAGGCTTACCATTAGTTTTCCCCTTCAGATACATTAGGATTGATACAAATAAGTTTGCAGAATTGTTAAAACTGTAGGAACCCACTTGACAAGAATAAAATTGAGATTTACAGTTCAAGGTATACAGCTGTAAATGGAAAGGAACCCATGTGACTTTCAATACTGCATCTAGATTTGTTAGGACAACAAACAGGTAAGAGAAAAAATTCCCGTGAGGTCACAAGAAATAAATAAAAAAATATAAAATAAAAAACCAACCAACCAAACAAACAAACAAAAACCCACACCAAAAAAAAAACAAAACCAAAAGCCACATTGATTTCATTTGTGGCACCAGTTCAGGATTTTTAAATGATTATGTAAAAGTTAAAAATATTTTTTTATGATGCTGGGTCCTGCACCCAGCATAAGCCTCATCCTCACTGTGAGCCACAATAACCCACCCATGCACCCACCTCTCAGATAACACTGGCTTCTGCTGCTCATCCCTTCTGAGCAGGGACTATGGGTTGCCAGTGTCTATGCATGCCAAAAAAAAATCCCTCACTCATTACAAACATCGCACATGTTTCCTTCCTTCAATTGTTATGAGTATTTGCAGTTGTACTCGGCCCTGAAATCCTCACTTATTTTCCACCTGCAAAACGGCTCATGAGAGCTACCTAGGAACTGAACTAAAGTGTATTTTAGTATCCTTGTTAAAACTTATATTCACTGATATCCCCTTTATTAATATGCTTTAAGAAACCTAGCGATGGTAAAGTAAAAAAACACATCATACAAGTTCCAGTAGTTTCAAAGCTTTTTGAGATGACAGGAAAGCATCCACTGACACAAGATCAGGTAGAGCAGAATATTTATGTTAAATAAATTATTTATTTAACAGCCTATTAAGGAGTGACATTTCTGAAGGTAAGGACACAATACACATAGTTCAGCATGTTACAAACAGCTTTGCAAAGAAAGGACATGAATTCTGGAATCATACTGAACTACATCACTCAGTTTCTGTCAGAGTCACACACTGACATGCTGCAGAAAGCTGGAGCTGCTGCTGCAATTATTAGCTGTCTTTGAAATATGGCAGCCCCTGCTCAAGTGGAAATATTGATTCTTTAGGGATGCCTCTTACCCCACTGCACTACATTGCTTTGGAGATGGATAACCCAACAAAAAGAGTTTCACAGTAACTGTCACTAGACAAAACAGAGCTAAATTCAGGGCCCTGACCACAAGGATTAGAGTAAGGACAGGAAAAGCATTTTTGTCAACAATAACCTCAATGATATCCAATTGAGGTTATTGACAAAACTGTACATAAGGCTGGCCAGAAATCCAACCCATTAAAAGCTGATTTCATAACTTTCTGCTTCTTTCATATTACAAATTTCCTAGGTAGCATCTAGTACAAGATCTCTATCTGTGGCAGTGTCTAAGACAGAGAGAAAGCAGTTTTGATCTATGATGAAAATTCCCAAACTCCTAACAACAAAACTAAGATAAAGCCTCTTTCATACTTAAGTGGCTTCACATAGGTATAAGTTCTGTGTGAACAACAAGTAAAATGTCTTATAAGCAATAATGTCTTATAAGCAATATAATAGAGTGAAAGTCCATAAGTAATGATGTCGTATATAAGGGACAGATCAAAAATTTATAGGAAAGTCACTACCTGTACAAACTGTGCTAGCACCTTTACCAAAATAAGACCAGCTGTACCAGGTTCAACCACAGGCCTGCAAAACTCATGTCTCCATAAAATTGTGCTTTGGGATGACCATACAATACTTCTCCTAAGGAGTCTCCCAGCATCTACCTACCAGAAGCCAAATGCTTTTAAGATTTAAAATGCATAATAACAAGCACTCCATAAAGGTGTGTTTACAGGAAATCAAACAGGAAAAAACTGCCACATGCAATATTCTCCTAGAGAGAGCATAAACACTGAAGACAATGACACAGTGTCTTTGCAGATCCTGCATTTGTGCTTCTGAAACCTGGGCCGTGCCAGTGGCCATACAGCTACCAGCATATAGAAGGCAAGGGGTGCCTAGTACTAACTTTACAGAACCAGCTCCATAGTCCAGCATACATAATACTCTCCCAAAAATCTGTGTTCTACCACACAGAGGTTCATCTGTGCATGCTTCCCCTCTGCTTCCCATGGGAATGCTTGTAGCTAGAGAACTGCAGCATCAGAAGAAGGTCCTTCAGCTATTGCCCTTAGCAGGCATTGCCCAGATTAAAGTATGCTTGGCTGAAGCAGCACATGCCCTAACAGAAAACAACTTGCCCTCTCTGTCCTCTCAATTCAGGCTCCAAACTTGTCCAGGCATTTGAAACACAGGTCCAAATATCCTGCCCATGCCAAAGGCTTCACTTGTTTTTTTCTCTACAGGGTACCCCATGCATGAACACTTGAGAATGCCACAGCACATGACAAAGGTGCGATGATGTGGTCCACACAGAAAACATGTATTTGCAGATTTGGACTATAAGGACAAGTCGCTCCCCAGGTTTCTTCCATCATGTTCTCACAACAGCAGCAAGCAAGGTCCAAGAACAAGACAGCAGATGACCAGAGATCATGTTTCAATAAAATATCACTGTGACCAAGTCTTAAGATGATACGGGGAAATGGAGATTTGGGAGTTAAAACAGTTTGGAAATCTTAACAAATGGTTACAAGAAAATTGGCTTTAAACCCCAAGCAATTGCAATTACCTTCTGGTGGTGGTGGAGGGAATTCCTCTGTGTCCATCCTAGTATATCCACTATGCCTTTAGCAGACTGAAAAACCCTGCAGAAATGAAGGGAACATGTTTGTAGATTAACATAGTTTCCAAATACTGAGACACTCCTTTTCAGTTTGGCCAAGCTCATGCATATTAGCTAATATCATTATGGAAGAGAGGAAATGTGCCTGGCCTCTGGCTTCAAAATGCATTTAGTGCAATTTTTTATGTACACAGCCCTCAGTACTGGAGCCAATTCTTTTAATGATCTCAATAAGCCAGCTGAAGAAAGATGAAGTTTTCAAAACTAGTTGGTACTCTGCAGTTCCCATTGTGACAATCACAAGCAGATCACTAAAACATGTTATTTTAGTGCCTGCTTGGAATACATACACTGTTTCAAAATCTTCATGAAGAGGAGAGGGATAAAAATTCTAAGAAACTCAGTTTTGATAAAGCTTTTCTCCATTTGGCAAACAGAAATCACAAGCTTTAAGTATACATTTTATACATATAATTAATAGTGATAGTCTAGTGTCATCTGGAAGACTGGACCTATTATGGTGAGCAATGCACACACTCTGCCCCAAACCTATTTTCACTCTAACTCAAGAGACTGAGAGTCAAAAACACTTCAGAACAAGGCTGAGGGGGTAAAGTAAGTTTCCAAAAGCTGTCCAAGACAGTGGAAGAAACAATGCTGAATTTTCTGTCCTACTCTTGCACAGCTCATAGATATTAACCTCAAGAAGCTACCACATCTGCTGGCTACAGCACACAGAACAGCTCTAGCCCTTGGAAAGCCCCCATAGTCAAAGTATAAAACAGTAAGTTGAAGGACATAGTGAAAATCAAGGAACAGTGGAGAAATAATAAACTAAACTCCCCAAGTCATGGAAGGCAGATGCAGGGACTGTGAGAATGATGACCCTAGGCCCACTGTAGGAGAGGATCTGGTTCGAGACCATCTTAAAAACCTGAACACTCACACGTCCATGTTGAAATCCATCTGCAGGTCCCGAAAGAGCTGGCAAATGAAGTTGCTAAGCCACTGGCCATCATATTTGAAAAATCACGGCAGTTGGGTGAAGTTCCCAACTGGAAAATGGGAAATATAACCCCCATTGTCAAGAAGGGGAAAATGGATGACCCGGGGAATTACAGACCAGTCAGTCTCACCTCTGTGCCTGGCAAAATCTTGGAGCAGATTCTCCTGGAAGGCATGCTAAGGCACATGAAAATCAGCAAGGTGCTTGGTGCCAGCCAGCATGGCTTCACTAAGGGGAAATCCTGCCTGACCAATTTGTTGGCCTTCTATGATAGGGTTACAGAACTCATGGACAGGGGTAGAGCAGTTGATGTCATCTACCTGGACTTGTGTAAAGCGTTTGACACTCCCACACAACATTGGAGAGACATCAATTTGATGGATGGACCACTCGGTGGATAAAGAACTGGCTGGATGGCCACACACAAAGAGTTGTGGTCAATGGCTCAGTGTCTGGCTGGAGACCAGTAACGAGTGGTGTCCCTCAGGGATCGGTGTTGGGACCGTTCTTGTTCAACATCTTTGTCGCTGATATGGACAGTGTGATTGAGTGCGCCCTCAGCAAGTTTGCCGATGACACCAAGCTGTGTGGTTCGGTTGATACCCTGGAGGGAAGGAATGCCATCCAGAGGGACCTTGACATGCTTGTGAGGTGGGCTGGTGCCAACCTCATGAAGTTTAACCATGCGAAGTGCAAGGTCCTACACCTGGGTCAGAACAATCCCAGGCACAGCTACAGGTTGGGCAGAGAAGAGATTCACAGCAGCCCTCCAGAGAAGGACTTGGGGGTGCTGGTCGATGAGAAAATGAGCATGAGCCAGCTTCTGTGTGTGCTCACAGCCCAGAAAGCCAAGCGTATCCTGGGCTGCATCAAAAGGAGCATGACCAGCAGGTCGAAGGAGGTGATCCTGCCCCTCTACTCTGCTCTTGGGAGACCTCACCTGGAGTATTGTGTGCAGCTCTGGTGTCCTCAACATAAAAAGGACATGGAACTGTTGGAACAAGTCCAGAGGAGGGCCACGAGGATGATCAGGGAACTGGAGCACCTCCCGTATGAAGACAGGCTGAGGAAATTGGGGCTGTTCAGCCTGGAGAAGAGAAGGCTGCGTGGAGACCTCCTAGCAGCCTTCCAGTATCTGAAGGGCGGCTATAGGGATGCTGGGAAGGGACTCTTCATTAGGGACTTCAGTGATAGGACAAGGGGTAATGGGTTAAAACTTAAACAGGGGAAGTTTAGGTTGGATATAAGGAAGAAATTCTTTACTGTGAGGGTGGTGAGGCACTGGAATGGGTTGCACAGGGAAGCTGTGAATGCTCCATTCCTGGTGGTGTTCAAGGCCAGGCTGGACAGAGCCTTGGGTGACATGGTTTAGTGTGAGGTGTCCCTGCCCATGGCAGGGGGATTGGAACTAGATGATCTTAAGGTCCTTTCCAGCCCTAACTATTTTATAATTTTATAAATGAATTGGGATACAGGCATCAAATCAATTGCCACTTACAGAAGATGTGGCATTGAATAGAAGGAAGTGCCTCAGAAAAGGATCCAGTCTTAGGAGGTACCAGGCAATTTACCTCCCTGACATCAAGCATGCAAGGCCAAATTATCAGGGCAGACATGCCAGGAATGATAACAACTCTGGTAGCTCAAGATCCTCATATGATGAGACAATTCTTAACAACTTGCATTTTCTGAACATACAACATTCCTCTTAAATTGTCTAAAGCTTTGTTAATTTTTAAATCAAATAATTAATAAATCTAATAAGTAATATTTAAATAACTTTTTAATCCAGACAAAATCAAGTAGCTTCAGAGCCAAGGCTCAGAAAGGATTCATCCACATTTACAACACCTGTCTGTAACGCAAAATATTCCATTACAGGCTTCCACTGTACAGTGCCCCTTCTAAAGACTCCCTCTGCAATTTACATCTGCAGAGCTCAGAGGCGTGTTCATGCTTACAAATGTCTGGAATGTGCCTTGCCACACCAAAACTGTCAGCCAAAATGAGGGAAAATTATGGTCTGAAGAAAAAGCTATTGTTCTTTATTCATTTAAAGTTGCATCATCAGCGCGACATAGATTTTCAAGTGTGAAACATGCAATAACCAGGAAACCTGACACTTAAGTCTCAGCATCTCTTCCACATACATCTGTGAGAGTAGCTAAAAGGCCATATTTCTAAATTTCTAAATTTTCCAAATTTCTAAACACCTGTGGAAGTTAACTTCAACAATGACTTTTAAAATACGCTTCTTCCTCACTAACAACATGCAGAGCTATGGCAGTTTTCAGCTTGTTTTCTATTTTGATCTAGCTCACAGTGACATGCTTCAAATTACACAAGATTTGTGTCAAGGAAAGACACAGAGCCAGTGTTGGAGCCCTAGGCACTGACCTGCTTGCTCCCATCTGAACAGTGCAGTTATTCACAAGAAGAAAGATACAATTTCTCACTTAAGAATGCCTTAGGTGTTGACTTATGCATTGCATTAATTCATCTTGAAGTTCCACATATTTTTCTCTACTTTTTAGATGCTGAGGAAAACACTGAAACAGCGAAAAGAGCTTGGTATTGTACATTCCAGTAATACCGTCCATAAAAATAATTGACAAGCAGATAGCTTGTTCATGAATGATCTCTGACAGAACCTTATTTCAAAAAGAAGTTTTTCACTCTTCTATTGAGAGGCAGGGGAACTAACTCAAGTCGAAGATGTTTAAATCAAGATTAAGATAAATGATTTAACTTGACTAGCAGCATATGGCACAGTTTGCATTTGTTACTCAAGTGGTTTACCCACAGATTCTGCTGCTAAACCAGTTGCACACCACATAGCTACAGAGGTGCATTCAGAAAACTATCATGGAAATCACAGCTCAAAAGAAGCTGGAAGGGACCTCTGAATGTTCTCACATACGGGTAGCACAGCTGTCTCCAGAAATAGATCAGGTTGCTCAAGGCTTTTTCTACACTAGTTCTGAAACCCAATGAAAGTGGAGATTTCACCCCCTCCCTGAGCAGCCCACTCCTGTGCTGTTCAGACACTCTGGAAAGAGTTTTTCCCTTATGTCCAACTGGAATAACCCTTGCAGCAGCTTGCAACCATTGCCTCTCCTTCTCCTGGTGTGTACCCCTGACAAAAACCTGACTCCACCTTATTTCCAAGCCCACCTTAGGGAGCAGAGGTCTGCAATTCAACCCCATTCAGGCCTTTCTTCTCTAAACAACACAAACCCAGTTCCCTGAGCTTCTTCTGACCTATTCTCTCCCACAACCATGGTGGTGGCAATCACTGGACTGGCTTCAGTTCGCCACTTGTACTGGGACCCAACAGTGAGTACTGAATTCCAGATGCAATGCCATGACCATTGAGTAGATGTTATTTACTTTAACCTAAATTTATTTAGGAAATTGAACAGCTATGTGCTTTTAAAACACAATACTAAAATTTTGTTCCAAAGGAATTTAGAGACTGCAAATAGAAAATATAACCTATTAAACGTGAAATACATGAGCTATTATTATGTTCATGTGTACTGCATTATAAAAATATGAATCTGAAAACTGAACAACTGCCCTGATGTACTGGATGTGACACAGGGGCTATAAAAATGCAGAGCCTTTTTCCCCCATATAAAGCTTATTTCTCAAAGGTAGTATAACCTCCATTTAATGACTCAAACTGCTCCTTTCCCAGAGAGAAGTCCCATGCAGTTGAAGGAGTCAGACCTCAAATGGCACTCACACTGGAAACCAGGATCAGCTGACTATGAAATGATCCCCAAGGACAGATCCCCAACACATATCAAAATTTCCACCTTTCAGCCCTCACCTTCGTCCATGAAAGCTAGTCAGACTTCCATGGAAGGAAGTGGAAGCCTGCAATGTCCCACAGCAGACCTTAGAATCTGAGGGTGCTAATACCCATGTAAGAGAGGCTAGTGGCCTGGCATCCATTAGACTAAAATCCCAATTCCACAGCAACAGGCAGTTTTAGCAAAGAAACAAAGATGCCTGCATGCTTGGCCAAAGACTATAGAAGAAAACCAGTGTTTCTCTCTGTGACTCAGTTTTGCCTCTCATTACCTCTGGTAACTCCTTCTGCCTTCAGGGCTAGGCTTCTCAGCTATGGCTGCACATCAGATTTCATTCAATAGTTTCCTCTAATTGTGGGACAAGCAACAAACCACCAGTTCTCAGCTACAGGAATACAAATACTGATCAACATCTGCATTTCCACTTGATCAAAACTATTTTCCAGGAGTCATTACTTGTACAATAGTCAATAGGTAACAGAAACAGGACTGATGCAAACTCCACCAAAACAACAATACAGCACAGCATCCAGACCTCGTGGCACAGGACTTACACACTGAGCTCCCAAGGGGCACACGCTGCCAAGTTTTCCAGCTCTATCATCCTAAGAACTGAAAAGGCAACATACCTTCTCTTTAAGGAGTGTGCACTGTAACTGCAGTGACATTGGGATTCTTCACTCAACACTGCAGAAAGAATGAGCCAGTGAGCGCTTTTTTAAAAAAAAACAGAAAAATGAAACAAGGAGACTGATTTCCAAGGAACTGTGACTCATGGAAAAAGCTTAGCACAGGCAAGCTGCAAAGTCCCTTCTCTGAGAAAGCCTGAAAGCCTACAACTTAAATAAGTAAAGATTAAAAAAAAAACAAACCACAAACTGCGAAGACAAAGCCCATAAATGTCTAAAATCCTCCTGTGTTCATGTCACTTACTGAATATTGCTGTGTAATGCCCAGCTGAGTCTTCTTCCAGCTGTAACTACAGAACTCCCACTGGGAAGTAAATCTGGCTGAAATTTTATATATGGACAGTTTTGGGGGTGCAGAGAAGCAAGGAAGGAAGAGAATGCAGGAAAAAAAAAAGATGAATTTCCTTTTTCCCCCCTATACCTCAAGACAGCTTTTGTTAAACAGAAAAAAAATAAAAAAATAGGGTTTTTTTTACAATTTGTTCTCCATTTAAGACCATTCCTGAGAAACACAAACTGTAGGGTATTTTTAAGAAATGTTTTTATACTACAGTGGGTGTGAATGAAGCAGGCATTTATATTATGAGAGCCTATCATCACATACTGCAAACCATAGAATGAAGCTGTATCAAAGCTGGACATTAGTTCTTTTAATGTATATTTGGTTTTATCCATAGGTAAAAGCCCTATACTGTACTGATTTTATTCTTCAGCTTATCAAAAAAAAAAAATTACCTAAATTATAAGCAATGGAATGATAAGGAACTGCATTCATTCAAGTAGAAAATAAATACAAAGCCCAGTTCCTCACTCAAAGTCAGGGGAAATTCTATTACCAGCTGCAACGCAAACAATATCAGATGCACAGAAAGGTACATTTTTCAGACTGCATGCTCAATCCACTTCCCGAAACACTACTTCACTTTATTTTCTGCCACCCTTTTTCATACCAAGCAGCATCCTACTCGAAATTAGAGAACAATGCGGCAGCAAACCCTGGACAAGCAGCAGCAAACCCCAAGAACATGGCTGAAGATTGGTTTTCTATTCCTTCTTTTTAAAGGGTATTATTTGCAACATTTCTTCAGCTAAAGCTGATTCTTGCTCAGTACATCATCTGAAGGAGGGGAAAGGAGGAAGAAAGCAAAGACTGCATTTTCAGATATGCCTGAGGGCTCCTACCCACAACACAAGCAGAAGGCACTATGGATTTTTTAGTCTTTATGTTCTTCCCCTCTACAGATTATTACTGCAAGGCAAGATAGGGAATCACTGCTTGACAGACTCATTCAAGTTGACAGGTACCTTCCGAAGTCATGTAGTCCAACCTGCTGCTCAAAGCCAGGTCATCTATCAGGTGAGACCAGGCTGCTTTATCTACTGAGATCCCAAAAATCTCCAGAGACTTCAAACCTTGCCAGGCAACACGTTTTCCTGCTTGGTCATCCTCCTAGACAAAAACATTGCCTTTATACCTAGTTAGAACCACCCTTACTTCTGTTTATGACCATTGCCTGTTGTCCTGCCACCTTCTTGATAACCTGCCAGCAGGCAGACGCAGGCTGTCATAAGGCAGAACAAGCCCAGCTCACTCAGCCTCTGCCACAGGGCAGTGCTTACAACCCCTTGACATTGTGGTGGCATTGTGCTGACCCTGCTCCAGTTTATTCACATCTTTCTTGTACTGGGGCAGGGTGGGGTGTGGATGCAAAGCTGGATGCAATACTCCAGGTGTGGTCTGAGAAGCGCTGAGTGAAGGGGAACCTTTCTGTTGGAGCAGCTCCTCTTCCTACATGCACAACCTTGCCTTCATCATTCTGAATTTCACAAAGTTCCTGCCAGCCAGCTCCTCCAACCTGACCATGTCCTCCTGAGAGACAAGCCTTTATCTCAAGCACATCCATTGCTCACCCCTTCTCCCAGTTTGGTGTCACCTGCATATTTCATGAGCAACTGCAGATTGCTTGACTTGCAATTCACACATAGCATAAAACAGGACACATCTGTTCCAAACAGCGAGGCACACCACCGGTTACCAGCCTCCATGTAAGTTACAACCAACTAGTCATCTCTAACACAATCGCCCCACCAGTTTTCACCCATCTAGTAATACATCTTCCCAGATCATAATGATATTCTGCAGACCTTGCTGAACCCAACATGAACATTGGATTTTATTAAACTCAGTAGCACTATATTTAACTTATAGATGGGAAAGCTAAGACCTACAAATATTCATGGAATGAGAGGGAGTATGGGTAAAAAGTTACTGAAACCAGAGAAAAGAACAAGTTCCTGAACATGTACATAGGGCACCTGAGTTCTAGTGAATAAGCCTTTGCTTCTGCCTTTTGTGCTGGCAATGTTTGAATACCCAAAGGAAGAAGAGGGGCACCACCCTGGGTTTTATAGGCCATCCTGGAGATCAAGCGTACCATAACAATCACAAGCATCCAAAGAATTAAAACTGAATGGTGTCATCACATACTGTTAGTCGGGACTGGTTTAGAGTTTTTCTTCTTGTTCTGTGTCACACAAATTAGAAGACTGCATCACTAGTTCAAGATCATAATCTGTGTTGCTCATATATTTTATCGCAAAACAAAATATAAATGAATACTAAGAGCATTTCCCTTAGTTTGCTCTAAATTTTACTGCAATCAAGTAATTTCATCTGAAAAAGTAATCATATTTCTGAAATTTCCTCTTTTAAACTTATCCAGACTAGACCCTTTCAATATTGTAAACCAAGTATTACCTTAATTGGAAACATCCTCAGCAAGATTTCTGTCAAGTCAGAGAAGATCCTTCAATGTGGCATAACACTTCAATTGTGTTATAAACCTGCATACGGATCAGCTGCATAAATATTATTATACATATGTAATTATAATGCAGAGATTTATAAATGCTTTTTAATTTAAAAAATTGCACAAAAATAGTAATTTATTCTAGTAATTCTGATGAGCCTTCTATGCAAATTACAGTATTTTTGTCAAAGGGAAAATGACCCCTCATGAAACCTATTTTGATTCCCCAGTAAATCAAGTTCTTGGCAAAAGCAGAAAGTCCTAGTCAAACCTGCATTAAATCCATGACCTCTAGTTCTACAAAGAATGGGTTGTCTTTCAAGATAGTGATGACAACATGAAAATTTCTATCAGAAGCTCTTTCCCATGACACAAGTGAAATGATACACCGATCTGAAGATCAGTCTTACCATCTTCTGCAAACCTAATCTTGACAGAGACACTTCCTACAGTAGTATCTAAGAAGTGAAAATGTGTCCTTGAAAAAGTAATCATAGCATTTCTCATCAAGGACAGCCCATTACATATGATGATTACAGAAGTGTCCAATTGAACACATTTATTTCACCTGGTGAATAAAGTTATTAATACAAATACAAAGTCTTATTCCTGTGTTCCTAAAATATTTTGAGTAAAATACTGAAATACATTTCTAATCATACAGTCATAATGCATGCTCTAGAAAAATAACAATTTTCATTTATTTCCTTTTTGTAACATCAAAATATTATGCAAATAAATCAGAAACCAGGTAATGCAGCCATTAAATCATCAAGTAAGAACACCTGCACAAAACAGACTTTAATTTTAAAAAAAATGTATAATGTATAAAGCATTTTTCCATGGAAGCCTAAGTTCAGCATCTAGTCCTAATATCTGCCGTCTTCATTCTCTTGTTGATTTGGAAATGATTAAGTAAACCTCTTCTTCACCTTTTGTAGTCCCAAAGGTGAAGTTTTAACGACTCAAATTAGTCTGTGGTTTGCAACATTAAATATTATGTACAATAATATTTATTATGTGGTCCTAGAAGGAAACCTAAGTATTGGCATCTACTTCTCCATAACTTATGATCCAGTTTTAAAGATGAGAATATAATGTTTACCCTATTTCTTGAAGTTTCTGAGATGTATTCTCTATCTCTAAGGAAAAAAAAAAAAAAATCTTGCTGAAAGCCTTTTGAGAAAAGAGAGTACATAACAGAAACAACAGTGAATGTTTGACCTTGAGCTTGTATCCTAATAGCTTGCATTCATGGTTCAGTCCCAAGTAACAAGTATTGTACAGTACAGCAAGTCACTGAAACAGATTTTCCCAAGATAATGCCCCTATTCAGCACCACATAAGTAGAACAACTTATTTTCTCGTTAACTGCTTCACCCACACATTTGACATTAAGCTTCAGGCTTCCTGACTGAGCAGCAAACATGCAGGACACTGATCAATGTTGCACAGTTATGCATCACTTCCCACACTGAATCCTGCTGATTCAGGCAATTCAGAATAAAATACGAGTCAAGTTCTTGATCTAAAAACCACACATTTGAAAACATACTTTTCAAACCTTGTTTATCATTACTTGTCATCACTCCCTTGAAAAACAAGTTGTACTTCTACACGTCCCTGGCTTCAAAATAATCTGAAGTATTTTGGCATTAATAAAATTCAGATTCTTTACTGTAAAAAAATGTCCAAGTGATTTAAATCTCAATAGGTGCTAATAATGCAGCAGTTGCCTTTCATGGATATGTGACAGATCTTGAGTCTCAAGATTCTGCTCTCTGCAAACCACACGTGTACACAACAACATTACTGAGAAAGATGTGAAAACATAAAGTATGAAGACAGTTGTATACATCCATACTGAGAACTTCCGTTTATCTTACTAATGTACCTCCCACCTCCTTATTATAAAGAGTGCCTCCTTACTATAAAGAGCACCTTCATAATATGCCTGCAGTCTCTGTAAGGAATTCTCAGGCTTCAGTTTACAAATCCCCACTAACTTCCAAGCACCAAGGCGTGCAGCTTTCCCACGCTTTAAACTACTTCTAGATTCAGAAACAAAATTACCAATATTAATTTTTCACTAGCAGGTGTAACAACAAAGACTTTGAATGAACAGGAACATGAGTGGAAAAAATAGCTATAATGAATGTTGATTTTAGCAAAAGGTGGTCTTGGATACGGAAAAAGCCTCACCCACATGTTGCAGAATATATACAAAATGAGACTAATTCATACCATTATCACTGAAGCTTCATTTACTGCCCCATCATAACATAGAAAATGTTCAAAAAGTAAGACACATTCAACAACTGCATTCACAGTGTTTAATTTACACTGTAACTCAAAGGAAGTTTCTCTAAGGGAAAACTGCAGCAACAGATATTCCATAAGAAACATCCAAGGACAGTAAGGAAATGCACTTGTGGCTGTAAAAGACAATAGGAAGCTGGAATGACAGTTTCAAAATGTCTTATAGCCTCTAGATGTAAAGACAATTCCCCATGAGATTCCTTCTAAAGTTCTAACCTAAAACTGTAAAATAGAAAGACCTTGACATGCTTGTAAGGTGGCTGATGCCAACCTTATGAAGTTTAACCATGACAAGTGCAAGGTCCTACACCTGGGTCAGAGCAGTCCCAGGCACAGCTACAGGTTGGGCAGAGAAGAGATTCAGAGCAGCCCTGCGGAGAAGGACTTGGGGGTGCTGGTCGATGAGAAAATGAACATGAGCCAGCTTCAGTGTGCGCTTGCAGCCCAGAAAGCCAAGCGTATCCTGGGCTGCATCAAAAGCAGCGTGACCAGCAGGTCGAAGGAGGTGATCCTGCTCCTCTACTCTGCTCTTGTGAGACCTCACTTGGAGTATTGCGTGCAGCTCTGGTGTCCTCAACATAAAAAGGACATGGAACTGCGGGAACAAATCCAGAGGGCCACGAGGATGATCAGGGGACTGGAGCACCTCCCGTATGAAGACAGGCTGAGAAAGTTGGGGCTCTTCAGCCTGGAGAAGAGAAGGCTGCGTGGAGACCTCCTAGCAGCCTTCCAGTACCTGAAGGGCGGCTATAGGGATGCTGGGGAGGGACTCTTCATTAGGGACTGTAGTGATAGGACAAGGGGTAATGGGTTAAAACTTAAACAGAGGAAGTTTAGATCGGATATAAGGAAGAAGTTCTTTACTGTGAGGGTGGTGAGGCACTGGAATGGGTTGCCCAGGGAGGTTGTGAATGCTCCATCCCTGGCGGTGTTTGAAGCCAGGCTGGATGGAGCTTTGGGTGATATGGTTTAGTGTGAGGTGTCCCTGCCCATGGCAGGGGGATTGGAACTAGATGATCTTAAAGTCCTTTCCAACCCTAACTATTCTATGATTCTACATCCCTGCTCATTGCAGGGGGACTGGACTAGATGACCTTTGAAGGTCCCTTCCAACCTGAACTATTCTATGATTCTATGATTCCATAATTCAAGAAAAAGCAAAACATGAATCATAAGTCACTTTACAGAAGAAAATTGTTACTCTACATATGTAAAAATGAACAAAATAAGTATTACGCATGGCTCATTTCTCTACCACATACAAAACAGAGACCAGTGTAGTATTATAGATGCATGAACAAACTGACTGCAGCTCTGCACACCGTATAAATTTTAACCTGAAAGTCTGAAACAAAACTACTCTTTCTCCTCCTGGATTGCAGAATTTGCTTCCTGGCTTCTTCAGAAATAGACTAAAGTTTATAATTTTTTTTACAATGGGTTCTAAAAATAATTTCTACTTTACATAGAAGCAGTTAATAGACTTCCTGTTTTACAAATGAGTAATGCACTATTCTCAGATGCATTACATTCCATTAACAATTATGAAGTTTGACAAGAGCCTTTCAGGTTTTAGATAAGCTTGTTGTCTTCCTTCAGCTACGTAAGGATTCCTAAACAGCTGAAAACCAACCAAAAAACTATAAAATAACCAAGAAAATGCTGTTAAAAAGAGTAACTTGCTGCTATATCTAACATTCAGCCTACTCAAAACTAAGGCTATACCTTACTGAAGACTGGACTCTTCATTAGCGACTCTAGTGATGGGACAAGGGATAACAGGTTCAAACTCAAACAGGGGAAGTTTAGATTAGATATAAGGAAGGAGTTCTTTACTGTGAGGATGGTGAGCCACTGGAATGGCTTGCCCAAGGAAGTTGTGAATGCTCCATCTCTGGCAGTGTTCAAGGCCAGGCTGGATGGAGTCTTGGGTGACATGGCTTAGTGCAAGGTGTCCCTGCCCATGGCAGGGGGGTTGGAACTAGATGACCTTAAGATCCTTTCCAACCCTAACTATTCTACAATTCTATGCAGCTACTAGGTTTAGGATAATCAGAACCTTTTACATTTGACATATGACTAAAGTAAGTGCTTAAACTTAATATTTCAAGCTGGTGTAAGTCAGTACATTTCCACTGAAGTTAATGGGCTAGAAGGAAATAAACCAAGAAGCTGAGGTACCGTAGTTTCAATTACAATAAAAATCAGAATCTTAATACTATCTAAGTAATACTCTGGATTTTTAAAGTTAAATCTCGATAAATGCTACATCTTGTTTCACAGTATTCTATTCTAGGAAATGATTGCCACAGTTTACCGATGAGCAAAACCATATCCCACCTCAGGGAGTAACCACTTGCTACTGAGAAGAGGACTCCTGTGCATGGGCTTTGAGGGAAGCAACTGCCTCCTCACTACCTGGGTGTGCTCACCACTGACCTGTTGCAGGGAGTAGCACAAGACTTGTGCATTTGGTCTCAATGTCTCAGAGCTGTGAGACCAGCCTGCACACACTCATCACGTAGCACTACACCTCCTCTCTGTATCCTGTAGTGTATGAACTCCCTAAGCCCTGGTCTACAGGGTCCTGCCAGGTTCTTGCACTCAGCAGGAGCTGACAGACAGCACATGCCTCAAGCATCTATCTGCTTCCACAACCTCTTCTCCCACCACATCCACCCGTGGGTATCAGCCACAAAAGCCAGTGCCTGCCCCATCACACGACACCTGCTGCCACTCACATAGTAAGTCATATCTCACACACAGTACAACAGGGAAGCTCAGAAACCCATGGACTATATTATAGAAGTCTTGAAATCTCACTGTAAAGCCTTCAGAAATATCACATTTTACTGTAGCACCTAAAGAACTAATGATCATAACCAGACAAACACACGTAACTAGCTCATGAGTTACTGAGCCCAAGGGTGGAAAGGAAAGAAAAAGACAAGACGGATTAAACAAAGCAAGTCAGAGAGATTATCAAGATCAAACAGATCACCCAAGTGAAAAGAATGACGAGCCCACTGAAGAACACAGCTGAACAGCCAGAACCCCTGCCTGAATAATGGGCTTGCAGTTCCAGCCGCCCAACAAGTCCCATGTTCAGGCAATAAATCTGTGTCGCTTGAGCACCAACAGAAAATTTGAAAGATGTAATACTTCATTTCTGCTGCAGAACGGGACACTCGCTGGGGTTCACTAAGCACAATAATGGCTTTGGGAAAGCATTATTATTGCTTCTTTACAATAACAACAGTCACAAACTAACATACATTGGTACATCCCCTCTGTGCTTAGTCAGCAGAAGACAGTTGTTAAACAGTCAATCTTTCTTATTTCCTGACTCATGAAGGCAAACCCTACACCATTTATGGTAGCAGTTAAATTGTACAACTGAAAGAATTAAAGAAGATACTTTCTATGTTGTAATTATACAACTTCAAACCTGCTAGCACAATAAAAGCCAGGACCCTTGTACTTTGGGAAAAAAAAAAAAAAAAGGATTGCACAAATTCTTAAATGAAGAAGAAATTTAGGATGGATAAATACCACCTAAAGGCCTTTAAAATAAGCCTTTACTATGGGCAAATTATTAATAGCTGTCTTTCCAAGCACTCGGTATAGCCTACTGACAAAGCTAACTCACTGGCCCAGGTGAATGGCCAGCCTTAAAAGCTGCTCTTGCCTTACAACATGGCATCTTTGAAGAGTAACTATATTGTCTAGGATCACCACAAGCAACTCTGTAACTCCTCCAACAGTTAAAGTGTTAATTACAAAGAAACCAAGGACAATTTAAAACCTTCTTTAAAAACAAAAAAAAACAAAACAAAAAAAAAAACAAAAAACAAAACCATAAATGGACATTTGCTACTGTGCCGAAGTATTTATCCCGTTTCAATAAACCCAGTTTAGTTGAAGATGCCATCTACACAGCTGGTGTTGAACGCAGTTTCTGAGAAAGGGGATGGAAAGAAACTCACGTCCCCGCAGGAGTTTGGATTTTCAATAGCCTTATCCATACCTGCTGAAGAGGGGAGAGGAGCTGGACCCAGGCAGCTCCCGGTGCCGCGAACACGAAGAGGCAGATACACACAAGAGAAAACCCCAGCGAAAACCCTGGGGAAGAGACTTCACCAGGGATCAAGAGCTGGAAGTTCGAGAAGAGTATATGCGCTTGCTAACGATCCTGGCAGCCTCGCTCCAGCAGCTCGCCAAACCCCGCGTTTCCTCTCCTCCTGCACCGAGCCGGGCAGGGCAGCCCCTCCGAGGCACCCGCAGCGCCGGGACGGGTCAGGCTGCCCCCACCGAGCCAGCCTCAGAGAACCAGACTTCCCGTGACTAACCCACACCGGAGCGAGCCCCGGCGCTCCCCGCCGGCTGCAGCCAGCCGCAAAGAGAACGAGCACCCACCTCCTCCGCCGCGAGCAACGCCGCCACCGGGAGCTCCGAGGCCGCCACCCGGCCCCCTCCCCTCCGCCCCGCCGGAGCTCCGGCGGCTCCCCCGCTCCTGGACACGTCACCCGCCCCGCCCGCGGGCCGCAGCCGAGAGCAGCTGCTGAGTCCCAGCGAAGACCCGCCCGCCGCCGCCGCCGTTGTTGTTACCGCCTCCCCGGGCAGCCGCCGCCGCCATTGGGTCAGCGGGGGACGCCGCCGCCTCCCGGTTGGCGCAGCAGCCCGCCGGTCGCGGCGGGGCGGGCGGTCACCGCCTCCACGCACACCGCCCGCTCCCTCCGGACCCCCGCCGCATTCCTGCATCCGCACGTGATGCCGACGCCTCCGGGCCCGGCCCCCACGGGCACCTGCGGCCGGAGGCAGCCCCGTGGGAGGGAGGGGAGAAGAACGGTGACACGCGAGACAAACCCAGCGTGCGAGGATGCACCACGGCACCGGTCATGGAACTGTATCTCATGTTCCATGTGAAAGTCGCTAATCTTCATAGAATCATAGAATGGTTTGGGGTGAAGGAACCTTAAAGAGCATCCTGTTCCAACCCCCTTCCACTAGACCGGGCTGCTCAAAGCTGCATCCAACCTGACCGGAAACACTGCCAGGGATGGGGCAGCCACAGCTTCTCAGGGCAACCTGTGCCAGTGCCTCACCAGTCTCACGGGAAATTTCTTCCCAATACCTAACCTAAATTCATTCCCCCGTGTGCTACCACTCAATGTCCTTGTAAAAAGCCCCTCCCCAGCTTGCCTGTAATCCCCCTTTAGGCACTGCTTTAACATCTCCCCAGCCTGAACAACCCCAGCTCTCTCAGTCTGTCTACATAGAGAGAGGTGCTCCAGCCCTCAGAGCATCTTCATGGCCCTCCTCTGGACTCATTCCAACAGGTCCACGTCCTTATACTGAACACAGCTCTGCAGGTGGGGTCTCATAAAACCAGAGCAGAGGGGAAGAATCACCTCCCACAACCTGCTGGTCATGCTCCTTTTGCTGCAGCAGTCGTGAAACATGCCCAGGTATACTAAATTCATTATCACTACATGATATGGAAATGGTGGCGTTTCAAATGATGCTTGATTAATCCACCTTTTTCCTGCATTTTTCATTCTACAGTTTGTGAATATGAATGTATGTTAAGTAGCCCATATCTTCATGTGGGTTTATACAACCTGAATTACAAATTAAATATTAAAAAGTATTACTTTCCAAAATGCTTTCATTTTGACAAAGTTACTTCTTTTTAATGTAGTTCATCATAGTGGGAACTTAACATAATTCTCACATAGCTCTATAGGCTCTACAAAAGAAAGAGAAGGGAAAATTGGGTCATATGTAAAGGTGGAGGCCAGGAATACCACTATGGCATTCAGTTCAGTTTCTGGCAAAGAGACCACTTCATCCTGCTGTTTGTGTAATTTTGTTTAACATGTTGCACTTCACACTCCTGCAGGTATCATTTCAGGAGCTGAAATGGCTGGGAATCAGTCTTGGGCAAACTGTTTCATGACTGCTTATCATTAAAGGCCATGATAAAGAACAGGTACGTATCTAGACTAAGTGCAACTAACTCAATTCCATGATTAAAAATTTACTAGCGATATCCTTCTCCTTTTGGCAGCCAATTCATTATCCATGTGCATTTGGTTTTCTCATTCATAATTATCTTTCACTGCTAGAGAAACTTCAGATTCTTCCTTTATTTCTTCCCTGAATCCTTTTGATCTTTGACAACAACTTCTTTGATTCTGGTCATCATACATAAATACCCTGTAATTCTGATAGAAGGTTCCTGCGGAAACCTTGTTGGGCAAATCCAACAACAGCAGATCAACTCATAAAAAAGCAAAACTAACTTCCAAAATAACTTGCACTCTTCCTGCAGTTTTTTTAAGGCAACATCTAACAGCAGTCATAATTAATACCTTAATCATTGCAATCAGAAATTCATTATTTATCCACTCATAATTATGTGTCGATAGCCAGAGTTCAGATAACGGCTCTCTCCAGGGTTAACATGATGCTTTTCATAACCAACTCCTAGGAAGATGATGTTAAAATTTGTTTTACTGGTGATACATGTACAAGACCTTGCCAGAATTTACTTCCTGTCATCGGTGCTTACTGGGGCTTCACAGAATCATGGAATTGTTGGGGTTGGATGGGACCTTGAAGATCACCTAGTTCCACCCTCCCCCCCGCCATGGGCAGGGATAACTACCATTAGACCAGGTTGCTCCAAGCCCCGTCCAACCTAGCCTTGAACACTTCCAGGCAAGGGAAAGCAACAACTTTCCTGGGTAACCTGTTCTAGTGCCTGCTTCCCTGCGCAACCCATTCCAGCTTCAGCAAAGCTACCTTTCTTCTCCAAGCTGCCACAGATCCTGTAACTACTCCAGCATGCATTCTGGGCATCTTAAGGACACCACAAACACTGAGCAGTGTCCTGGCCCCATGTGACACACTGCTGTGAAAAAGACAGTCCTTTTTTCTACCTCCGTGGAGACTGGGGTGATTGAATGTAAACTGAAATTTATGATGCCTAAGAACCATTCCTATGGCTTGCTTTCCAAAATGTTGCATGAAATCTGAAGCAAGCAACTAAAATGTAGGTTGCCAGGTTCTCCAGTGCAGCCTGATTTTCTTGATTTCTTCCTTCTCCTTACAATCAGCATTTTCTCTTAGGGAGTTTTCATTCATCCACTAGAAATAAAAAAAACTTACTTCTCCTGTTCTCAACTATCCCCCACCACAAAACAGTACGTCATCTGCTTACCATAATCCTTCAGAAACCACTGAAAGCCAGGACTTCACAAAGCCTTGCTTAACTTGAGCTCATGCTGGAGCCTTGTAAAGTTACAGATCCCCTCTACTGCCCTTACCAAACAAGGCTGAGTGTCAATACTTTTTTAAATTTATATATAAATTTATATATATATACACCTATGTTCACAAATATTTTTAAAAACAAACCACACAGCTTTCTTAAATTCAGACTAGTACATCAAAATAACATTTGGTTTTATAAAAGCATTGCTCACTTACATTCTAATCAGGTGCTCACTGCTGGTCTGTTGTCCAGGTCTCCCTGAAGAACCAGCACCCCTACTGGGAGAGTTTGTAAATTCTGAGCATACCAGTACAGGTTAACCTGACAACTGAGTTTTATAATACTGTGATGTTTTACCTGCACAACTTCTTTCACAAACGCCTTTAAAAGGTCTCTGCTTACGAGGAGACTTCGCAAGTCAAATTCTCAGACTGCCAATTCAGGCAGACTAGGAACAAATTTTCCTAAATTTCAATATTCCTCAGCACCAGAGTCCTTGTGTCACATCAGCTCCTCGTTGTCACGGGTGGTGCACGAGCAATAGTACAGCTGATGCCACAACCTCTTGTGGTGGGTTGACCTTGGTCAGCAGCTGGACTCCTACCCAGCCACTCTCTTGCTCACTCCCCTTAACAGGACAGGGGGAGAAAATAAGATGGAAAGCTCATGGGTCAAAATGAAGACAGGGAGATCACTTAGTAACTACTGTCATGGGCCAAACAGACCCAAGTTGGGGAAACTGCATTTATTGCCAATTAAAATTAGAGTAGTATGGTGAGAAACAAAGACAAGAGTAAAAACACCTCACACACACACTTCTCCCGGGCTCAACTTGACTCCTTCATTCCCAGCTCCTTTATCTCTCCCACCCCAAGAGATACAGTGGGATGGGGAACCGGTGCTGTGGTTAGTCCACAACAGCTCCTCCCTGGGCTCCTTCCTCCCCACATTCCTTCCCTGCTCCAACGTGGGTCCTTCCCACAGGCTGCAGTCCTTCAGGATAAACCTGTTCCTCCCTGGGCTCCTCCAGAGACCGCAGGGGAATCTGCTCTGGCTCCTGGAGCACTGCCTACCCTTCTTCCTCCTTTCACCACAGTGCCTGCAGAGTTGGTTCTTTCACTTTTTTCCTTACTCGTTTTGCCTGCATCATGGTTTTGCTCTTTCTACATATGCTTCCCCAAGGTACCACCACCTCAAGTGGGGGGCTCAACCATACCCTGCGATTGGACCATGAAGCGTTAAGGTCACGCAACCGTGAAAGACAAATGCAGCCTTTGGCTGAGACAGAGCTATTTCCAGTGGCAGAAAAGAAGTACAAGCAAGGTTCTGAGAAGACTTCATATGAAGTACTGTGTATGACTCTAAGCCACCAATATTTAAGGAAAAGGAATTCAAGTAGGAAAAGCGGCAAATAAAAAGTATTAGGATAGTAAAAAGAAAACAATAATAAAAAAGGAAAATAAAAGGAAAATAAGGAAAATAAATGAGCAGATTCATGAATACGCAAAAGAGACTCCACGGCTAAAATATAATTGTGTAAGATAAAAAGGCAATGATAATACAAGAATAAATTATTATAAATTAGAACACACTGTTGGCTCCTTCAGTCTTGGGCAATATACTGCTTGGGAACTTTGATGTCCTAAAAACAATCCTCAAATTTTTCCTTAACCAGTGTCACAAAGATTCTTAAAGCAGTATGCTACTGACAAAAAAAAGCATTAAAGCATCTCACAGTCTACGTTTATAATGTCTAACTGCAACCTGCTCAGCACTGTACAATGTAATAGTCTCAGCTACCTCATCCCAAAGCATCCTAATTTTCTTCATATTTATATCCTATGACTCCTAAGTAAGGCTACTGCTGCTTTCTTCCTGTAAACATGACCGACAAGACAAGATGATCAAGCTGGTGTCAGATGCTCCACGTGTACTC